CCCAGAGCCCACCCGGACCCCGGGCGGGGTCCCAGTGGCAGCTCCCCGCCCCCCACCCCCGCCCGCAGCCCTGCGCGCCCGCCCTGCACGCCCTCTGACGCAAACGGCGCTCCCCTGCCCAGCGCCTGGGAAAGCGCTCTTGTTGGCTTTAATTGAGGCTCTTCCTTTCACATACACACCCTTGGTCCCCACCCGGGGAGGCGACCCCCTCCCCGCCACCAGACCGCTAGCCGCGGCACGAGGAATCTGGCTGGGCTGCAAGGCTGCAGATCCTGGTGCTCTGCCGCCGCCGCCGCAGCAGCAGCAGCAGCTTCTCCACTTGGGAGAACGGTTTGATGTCCCTTTTAATCCGCTGACACTATCGCCCACATCAAACAGGCAGCCATCGATTGCGTTACATTAAGGGATCACATTACAAACGGCGCCCGCAGGTGGGCGGCAAGAGCCGAGCTCGCCAGGTCCTGGCCTCAGCCAGACAAGATGCGAGCACCAGAGCCAGCCCGCTGCACCGCAGCGAAGGCTCTGCACTGGCTAGGACGGCCAAGCGAATGCTAAGCTGGAGGGTCCACAGTCCCGCTTCCCCAGCGCCGGCAGCCGTTTCCCGCCGTAGCGGGGGCGGGGTAGTTTGGGAACAGTTGATCCAAGTGGGAGAAACCTGTTTTGAATTTGAACTGATGATGGACTGGCAGGATTCTTACCTCCTAGGAGGCGACGCGGCGGGATAGAGGCCTGGCAAGGGCAACTCCGAACAGGCCCGGAGGAAAGTTCTCCTTTACCAGCCCTGGCTGCCTCGACTCGTGTCCCCCGCCTGCGTGAGAACCAAGACTGCCTCCCTGCCTGACCGTGTTACCAATCCCAAGTTCAAAAGAAATGATAATCATTGCGTTACTTGCCTGATGGGGTAGGACTTGGCCGAATCTCGCTTCTGGTGCCCACGACGCACAGTCCAGGGTTCGAGCGCGACTGGGCCTGCGGACCCGGCGTCCAGCAGGCCTCCGCTTCCCTGGCGCTGACTCCCGCTTCCTCTCCCACTTTCTCCTTTTCTCCGCGTTCTCTTTCCCTCTTACAGTCTCCCTCTCTATGCCTGCTCTCTCTGCTCTCGAACTCCCTGCCTCTAACTGGATGGGGATTTAATTTAAATTTCTACATATTTTTCTTTCTTTTTTTCACTCTTCCCTTATTTCCTCCTTTTTTTCCTTCTTTCTTTCATTTTTCGGTCTATTTGAATCAGGTTCGTTTCATCTTTTAACTGGCCAAGAACAGGAACACATTTATTTGGGCAAAGGGGCTAGGGCAAGGAGCCCCTGCCACCCCCAGTCGCCTCCTCTTCCTCAGCTTCGTACAATGGGCTGCCGCAAGCGGAGTGCCTTGGCAGTCTTTCCATTATTCGAGCTGGAGGGGCTGCGGGGCAGACAGGAGAAAGCCTTTATTCTGCTCTTTAAAATCATCACTCGTCACTAAACGGTCTACGACTCGCGACTTCACAGACTAGAGAGACCGAGAAGCGCAAAACGTACCCCAAACGCGCAGTGCTTCCCAAACCCCTCCCTGGTGAAATTTAAAGTGAGAACGAGTATTAAAAAACAAACCCTACCTCTGTCAACACAGCGTGGTCATTTACTTCCACCTTTACCTGAGGGCCTGTTGGAACTCGGAACGCTCGAGCTGAGTCAAACTTTTACGCTCTCCCCAGTCGAGGGGTGGGCGGGAAAGCGCGGCTCCCACCCCTGGCGGCAGCAACGCCGGCTTTGTCACTCCGCTCCGCTCCGCGCCCGCCTGAGCCTGCCTAGGGGAGCGATCTCAAAACGAGGGGGGTGCGAGTGTGGGATTGGAGAATATGTAACTAATAGAAGTATCATTTTCTCCCAGTACGATCTTTCAAGGAAAAAAAATCCATTGAAAGAATTTTCAAAGTGCTGTCTTCGTTTGGAGAAAAGGCACAGGCTGTCTGTGGGGAGGGGAGGAGGGACTCGGCTATGTGCCGCCCGGGAACGGCTCCCGTCCGCTAGGTGGCAGCCGGAGCCAGCGATTCCTGCAGGCCCCGCGGCGGGACCCGCTCCTCCCGCCTGCCCCTCCTTTTGCGACCAATCACCTTCGGGAATCAGGGTCTTAGATACTGCCCCCCCACACACCCCCACCCCTGCCTCCCTCTCCTTCTTGCTCTCCCTTCTCCTCCCCCTCTCCTCGTTCGTTTGCTCTTTTCCTGGGACTCCTGGCCGCTCTAACACCACCCCCCCAACAATATGATGACTTACTACTGTTTTATTAATAATTATTGACGCATTGTTTGGAGTTTGAAACAGCCTGGGATTAAAAAAAAAAAAAAGGATGAAGATGGAAACAACGGTTTGATTGGAAAGTTTATTTTAAAATCATCTTTGGGATGAATAGGAACCGTTGATTCGGATCGAATTTGTGGCCATAGCTGTAAATTTCACGAGTGTGCTTGGTCATAATTAAATCTTTAAAACCAAGATATACTTTGGATCAAAAAGTAGGATGACCCTACCTTTATTCTTTAAAAAAAAAAAAAAAAAAAAAAGTGCATAAAATGAGCAAAACCCAGACTAGGATTTTGGTTATATGTAAAAGAAGAAAACAAACTAAATCCAGTATATTTCAGAAATTATTAAAATGATGAAGTTTTATTCCCATTAAATTTTTTCCTAACACTTTGAATGATTTTTCTCTTCACCTTCATGAAATCTAATTCTAAAAACTTTTCAGAAGAAATAAAAATAATATCCTCATTCTCGTTTTTTTCCCATCATAAGACATTCTCCCCCTTCATCCCTTCCCCCTCTGTGTGTGTGTGTGTGTGTGTGTGTGTGTGTGTGTGTGACCATAGAGGACCCATACTAATCAGGTCTCAGAGTAAATAGCAGCGCAGGGTGATCTCAATGTAAATTGCGCTTGTCAGAAGCACACCCCCTCCCTCACTTTCTCTCCTCCTCCCCTCGCTATCCCAGACTGTAGGTAGCTAAGAGGGAGGGGAGAGAAAGAGAAAAAAAAAAAAAAGAAAGAAAGAAAAAAGAGGAGGGGGAGGGGCTCTCTAGCCAATGGCGTGCAGGAGGCTTGGCTAACCTTAGCCTCCCATTTTCTCTCCCCCCCATTCAGGGCTCTGACCAGTCAGTCGCCTTTGATTATCAGTTGCCAGCAGCCCTTCTCTTGGCTCCTTGACACGAGCTCCATATAAGGCAGCGATCTCCATAGAAACGTGTCAGTTTCAATAGTAGTGTCAAAGTTCACTATATACAGACATTCGCGCAGATCCCCCTTTCGGAAACATTGCTCTGCGAGTCCTCCCGTTTAAACGCATTCAATTTTTGGGTTCTCTCTCTCTCTCTCTCTCTCTCTCTCTCTCTCTCCCTCTCTCTTTCTCTCTCTCTCTCTCCCCCCTCTCCCTCTTCTCTCTTGCTCTCTCTCTGTCTCTTTCTGTCTCTCCTATCGCCCTCTTTTTTCTCCTCTCTCCTCTCTCCCCTTTCTCTTTTCTTACATATTCTACTAGTTGTTTCCCCCTTCTTCTCCTTCTTTCTCTCATTTTTCTCCCTCCTCCTTGTCTCTTTTACTCCATTCCTGCAGAAGAGAGAGGGCTAAACTTAAAAAAAAAAAAAAGGAAGAGGAGGAGGAGGCACCCCCATTCGTATTCTTCTTATCTTTATTTTATACATATATGATTTTTTTTTGGAGGGAGGGTGTTGGTTCCCGGCTGAAGAGCACTTATTTAAAATACTAAAAAAAGAACATTTTTGGGCGATCTCCAGGGTTTTTTTAACTAGCTCTGTGTGTTATAGCAGAAGAAGCAGAAGAAGGAGCAAGAAAGAGGAAAAGAAGATTATTTATTCGACCTACTTTGGATGTCTCTCTTGCTTTTTCTTTTTCCTTTTTTTTGCAATTATTTTCTTCTGATTTTTATTTTTTTCTATTTCGCTGTGAATTCGTCGCCGGCGTGAATTATCTTGTATTTTTCTCCCCCTTCCGTCACCTCTTGAAAGAAGAAGGCAGCGAGAGCCCGGCGCCACCGGCACAACAAAAAGAGCAAAGTGTGTGATCTTCCTCGCCGGCTGCCTCCCGCTCTCCAGCGCTGCCTTCCTGAATGGCTGGCTGCGTCCGGCCCTGGACCTGGCCCCCCGACACCCGCGCTCCCTGATCGCCACCGGCAGCCTCGCCCGGCGTCCTGCTCGGCTCAGCCCGTTCCCAGCACTCCCGAGCCCCACGAGGGCTCCCACTGGGACAGCAGCGGCGGCGAGGGCGGTCCCGGCCTCGGCTCCCGCTCGGGCTACGGCCCCGACTCCAGCTCGGACTCCCGCCCGGGCCCGGGTTTCTCCAGCGGCGATCGCCGCAGCAGCTGAGGCGGTAGCTCCAGCGGCGCCTGCAGCCGCGACCTCCTCCTTTGCCGCCGCCGCCTCCGCCCTCGCCGGCTTCCTCTATGTCGGCTCAGCCCGCGCGCTGCGCGTAGCCCGAGCGGACAGCGGGCGGGCGGGCGCCCGGCGCGGGTGAGCGAGTGTGTGTGCGAGTGTGTGTGTGCGCGGGGGTGCGGGCAAGGCGGAGGGCGAGTGTGTGCGCGCGCCGTGGCCCATGCCCGCCGCCCCCGGCGCTGCGCCCCGCGCCGCTCCCGGCTGCCGCCTGTGCCATTTCTGATTTTGCAACTTGGGGAAGAAGAAAAAAGCGAGAGAAGGGAGCTTGCTCGCCGGGGGGTGGGGAGGGGGGAAGGAGAGCACGGCCCCCCCAGGAACGGAGCGCGGGGGGAGCGGGCGAGGGGAGCAGGGGTGTTGGGGGGGGAGCCTGAGAGCCTGGGGGGGCTGCAAAAAGAGAGAAAGAAAACAGCAGGAACCACAACAAAACGCCAGCAGGGCGGGCGGGCGCGCAGCAGCAGCGGGGCGGCCGAGGCAGTAACGGCGGCAGCGGCGGCAGCGGCGGAGGCAGCGGCCGGTGCCCGGCTCGGGCTCGGCTCCCGCGACCCCGGGGCGCCCGGTGGGCCCCCCGCCCCCTCCCCCTCCCCCCTTCCCCTTCCCCTTCCCCTCCCAGCGCGCCCGCGCGCCCCTCGGCCCTCGGCGAGCAGCTCGGCTCCCCCCAGCGCTCCCAGGGCCCAAAGATATGGCAATGGTAGTTAGCAGCTGGCGAGATCCGCAGGACGACGTGGCCGGGGGCAACCCCGGCGGCCCCAACCCCGCAGCGCAGGCGGCCCGCGGCGGCGGCGGCGGCGGCGCCGGCGAGCAGCAGCAGCAGGCGGGCTCGGGCGCTCCGCACACGCCGCAGACCCCGGGCCAGCCTGGAGCGCCCGCCACCCCCGGCACGGCGGGGGACAAGGGCCAGGGCCCGCCCGGTTCGGGCCAGAGCCAGCAGCATATCGAGTGCGTGGTGTGCGGGGACAAGTCGAGCGGCAAGCACTACGGCCAATTCACCTGCGAGGGCTGCAAAAGTTTCTTCAAGAGGAGCGTCCGCAGGAACTTAACTTACACATGCCGTGCCAACAGGAACTGTCCCATCGACCAGCACCACCGCAACCAGTGCCAATACTGCCGCCTCAAGAAGTGCCTCAAAGTGGGCATGAGGCGGGAAGGTGAATATTTCTTCTCTGCTTCTCTCCCCGCGCTTAGCCCGCTTTCCTGGCTCTCTCTTTCTGTCTCACCGGGGTGGCTGCTGTGTGGGGCTGGGGTTCCTGGGGTTCCTGTGGTCCCGGCCCGTCCCAGCTTCCGTGGTCCCCGCTGCATTCCTCCCCCAGCGTCCCCCCCTCCCCGCGCTCAGCTCGCTGCCGCTGCCTCCCCCTCCCAGCCTGCGCTCCTCTCCCCGGCTCCCCCACCCCGCCCGCTGCCTGCTCAGGACTGTGTCCCTGGGATCATGAGCTGTGGCTTAAAATCCCCTCCCTTCCTCTGTTGGATGTGCTTGGTGTGTGTCTCTTTCCCGCGTGTGCGTGAGGATGCTTGGGGATGTGCTGGCATGAACTTGGGCAGGGGTGCCTATTTTCCCCCAGGAAACAGTTTCTGTGTTTTTTCATTCCACTTTCCCCTCCACCTCTTCATACCCTTTATTTTAAAAGGGAGAGGGCTGGGGGCTGGAGTACCATGAGCAGTAGATTCATTGCTGCCATCATCCTTTTGGAAGCTTAGCTTGGAAAAAGAGGAGTGAGATTTATTGCACTTGTAGGTCTAATTAGGGGGGAAGGGGGGCTTCTGGCCTGTTCACTGGTTCCCTCTCCTCTTCACGGAGCTGGGGCCGCCTCCTCCAGAGCTATGGCCTTGTTTTCACCCCTCTACTTTGAAAGGAAAGTTTGTGACTGAACTGTGCTTTCATAGTAGTGTCATTTTTTTAAAAGCATGATACTCATTTTATTTCTTCATCAAACTCCACCCTCTGCTTAAATACTGCATACAAATTACAATTTACAACGGCATTTACCCATCCTTCTGATTTGGCCATAATGCATAGACTGCAGCTGGCATGAGCTTCCACATCATTTAATCCCTGTTGTATGGTTTAAAAAAAACACACACACACACACACACACACAACTTTTGATGTTGTATTTGGATATGCTTCATGTTCATGTGGCAAGAGATGCAGCACTTTTCTTATAAATATATTTAGCTGTTTATAGTTAAAGTTTATCTCCTGACAATCATTAAAGATGTCTTATAGTCAAATTAGCGAACCAGTCAATTTTGCAGAATGCAGATTACTCCTTCTTGTAATTGACTTTAAAATTATATTTTATATGCCACAAGAAAAGAAATTGAATTCCTTCAGATTTCAAGGAGCAGGCAAATATGACGACTTCATTTCTAGCTCCAGGGAGATTTTGTAGGCATTTGGAGGGAAAAAAAAAAAAAAAACTTTGAATTGTGCTCTCATTTAATTGAAAAATAACTGCCAAGTTCAAAACTATAATTAGAAAAAAAGTATTCTAGCCATTATGTTTCAAGTCTTAAATTGCACTGGAACTTGCATTGAAATTAGAATCAAAGCAAACTTAAGAAAATAGTGCACAACCTGAAATAAGGCAGCTACGTGTACATGGACATATCTATATTAATTTGTTGGGGGGGAGAGTTCAGTAGCCCTAACTTTTCCTAAAGTTGTCTTTGTTTACTTGGCAATTTAAAACGTTGGCACTGTTGAAGTAAAACATACACATTTAAAAAAAAAAAACTTTGGTCAGCTTTAAGAACTCAAAGCATGCTTACGTTTTGCATTCAGATGGTTAATGAATCCAGTGTTTTTGCAGTTGCAAGCTCGTGCATTCACTGGGCAAAAGCTGGCTGCAGGTTGCAGTGGCACGGAGCAGAACAGACATTAATTATATTTCCCACTTTTTTCAATAATGTTTGGCTACTGTAAGTTCAACTTTTTCTTGAAAATTTTCAATTTTCTGTTGCTTTTAATAGTGAGAACTTTGTATGGGGCGATCGGGAGGAGGGGAGAAGGGAGGTTTACAGGATACTTGTTCTCTACTCAAAAGTTGTAAGTGGTTAGTAAGATATGTAACTTGTATCTATTTTAAGGATAATACTATAGCATTTTAAGAGAATATGGAAACATTTTATGAGCAAAACGCTGCTTGTTTGCAAATGAGGAGGCCGCTAGGCATTTGCCTCCAACCACAGCCTTTCTCAGGTTTCGCCTTTTTTATTTTTTTCTTCTTAACCCTGATTTGCTTCATTCTGGAGGGGTGAATGGGGTTTCATTTATCTGGATGTTCCTCTTTGAAAGCCGTGGGGTTGGATGGTACTTTCTTCCCCTTGCGGAGCTGAGTCCCTGAAGTCAGGCCTAGCTCCGCTGGAGCTGAGATGATCAGGGGCAGCAGGCTATGGCTGGACCCATCGAGTTGCAGAGCTGGAGGGCCTCATCCCAGATCTCCTCGAGGTGTGGGCTGAGAGAACCAGCGGTTTAGATATGCCCGGGAGTGTGTGGCTGCGGGAAAAGCTGCTGCATTGTGTCGGGTGCGCTGCGGCGCGCGATGTTCGCAAGCCCCCTGGATGCACATTGCCTCTTTTCTCTCTTTCTTTTGTCAGCGGTTCAGCGAGGAAGAATGCCTCCAACCCAGCCCAATCCAGGCCAGTACGCACTCACCAACGGGGACCCCCTCAATGGCCACTGCTACCTGTCTGGCTACATCTCGCTGCTGCTGCGCGCCGAACCCTACCCCACGTCGCGCTATGGCAGCCAGTGCATGCAGCCCAACAACATCATGGGCATCGAGAACATCTGCGAGCTGGCCGCGCGCCTGCTCTTCAGCGCCGTCGAGTGGGCCCGCAACATCCCCTTCTTCCCGGATCTGCAGATCACCGACCAGGTGTCCCTACTACGCCTCACCTGGAGCGAGTTGTTCGTGCTCAACGCGGCCCAGTGCTCCATGCCGCTGCACGTGGCGCCGCTGCTGGCCGCCGCCGGCCTGCACGCCTCGCCCATGTCCGCCGACCGCGTCGTGGCCTTCATGGACCACATCCGCATCTTTCAGGAGCAGGTGGAGAAGCTCAAGGCTCTGCACGTCGATTCCGCAGAGTACAGCTGCCTCAAAGCCATCGTGCTGTTCACGTCAGGTGAGGCTGCGGTCGGTCGCCGGGAGGGCAGGCCGCGCCGGGAGCCAGGGCAAGCACCTCGCTGCCGAGGCCTGGCTTCCCGCGTCTCCCGAGCCGCCGAGGCCGCGGCGTGAGGCCGATCGCTCGCCGGACCTTGGGCCTGGCGTAGGTCGGCGGCCCCGGCGCGGGAACTCGGCCGGCCGCGCCGCTGCCATCTTGGGAGCGCGGCAGTGCGGGAGCCGATGCTGCGCGGCTGCGGCCCGCCGGCAGCCAGGCCTAGAGGCCGAGACCCCCGCGTGGATTCGCGACTGCGGTGGGTGTGCACCCAGGGAGGAGGGGAGGCTGTGCTGTGGATCGGTCTGGCTGCGCGTGTGTACAGTGTGTAAGTGTGCGTGTGTGTGTGTATGCGGTGTGTGTGTGTGTGTGTGTGTGTGAGCCAGAGCTCAGCGTTTCTGTGGGAGGAGAGGGGAGGAAGAGAACGTGGGAATGTGGCTTCCTACTCTGTGTGGCACGTTCCCTGGATGAGTTTCCCGACAGAAAGAGACACACAGAGGTGGAAAGAGAAGAATACACGCAAATAAATCATAAATAATCCTACTTTATTGCTGCCTGATTTTCCCTTATCGGAAACCATTCATGTTTGCAGTTGCTGAGGTTATTGAGGGTCATAAAAAACGGATTCGATCTAAACAAGAAAGATAAAAAACAAAAGCCATACTGTAGAATCCGCAAATAAGAGGATTCCGGGCCTGCAGATAAATTTCATAGCTATGCAAAATATACTGAATATTGAAAATTTAAAGTAGTGCCTTGAAAATATCAAATTGAGTGTAGGTGGTGGTAACATGGATGTGAACAATTTCTCTTATGATAGATGGTTCAAATTAACTTCCAGGAAAGTGCATTAACGTTTCCTTTGAAGGGCTCTGGTCTGAGCCTCTGAGAACACTGCCCGCCTTTTATTATTGTAACCTGTAAGAGGGAAACATATAAACACCCTGTACAGCAGGTAATGGGGGGAAATATAAACAAAGCCAGAAAGGAGGCTGGTGGGGAACAGTGTTGCTTAGACTAGGTCTTGGGCCCTGCCCACTGTGAGTAGGAGTAGCTGCAGTTTTATCACCATTGTTGGCACTATTGTTTTTTAATTCCTCCATTCGGAGAACAAATAAACCATTTCTAATAAATCTATCCTAGAGTCGGGCCCTCCAAAGGCCAAATTAAAAACATTCTTGAGCAGAGATGGCAAAACCACTTTCCCAAGGCCTTGTTGAACAGTAAGCAGTGGTAAAATCTATCAATATTTCTTGGCTTTCATGCGTGAAGAATTGTATTTACATTGTATTAAAATGACTCTTAAATTTGCACAATATTGTAATGTAGCAAATGTAGTATTAATATCGATCTGAACAGCAGATAATTTATTTAGACAAGAGTATCTCATTTGTATGCAGGGTGGCCAGAGCCATGGACTTGGACTGCCCCCCTTTTACTTTCAGTGCAAATGCAGGTCTGCTAGTGAGAGAAGGAGTATTCTTTGCAAGAGGATAAAGTGCAAACCTTAAAACAAATGGAAGATTTATTGAATAGCCTCCTTGGTGTTTGAATGCATTTTATCTTAATAAGTCTTCCTGATGGAAACGTGTTTTTCAAAAGTGACAAAGAGCCTGGGAAGCAGCGACCAGGCTGCTTTAGCTCTGGCAGGCATGGGGCCTGGCTGGCTCTCCACTACCCGATTCTTTAGCCAAATTCATCAGGAAGCAAGCCAGTGTCAGGGAAGCTAGGATTTTAAAACCTTATCCAGCGAGGTGTCTTGAAGCATAAATGTGACTTGGAGCTGGACAGAGGTCTTCTCAAGAAAGATCTTCCCTCCCTTTTCCTTGTTCCCCCAAGATTCTTTGACTCCCCTTGACTCTACTGATCTTATGCCCTTTCCCAGAGAGAGGCAAGGACTGTGCCGGCTGCTGGGAACATTGTGGAATTATTCATGCTTTTCTTTTAAGTTTCCATCTTAAAATATTCCTGTGAAAAGTGTACCATTTTTTTAAAAAGTTTTCCAAAGAAGTTTCTTGAACCAAGTCTTCAAGGTGCAAGGGATGCCTAAAAGTGAACAATTAACAATATTTTGTTGGAAAACTGCAAGGAAAATATCTGAAAATGGAAATAGAGCTGTCAGTAGTAATTCACCCCCCCCCCCATACAAAACATTTCCACTTTTGACTAAACTTGTTTTGATTGCCAGCCAGAAGGGAATTCATGGGTAGCCTTCTCAAAGTCATCCAACTTTTAAGCAAACTTTGAATGATGGAAAAGACAGTTTTAGACATATTGTCCAACGTGGTTTGCTCTGGCAAGTATTTGAAGTTGGCACGGGGGGTCCCCTGTGGTGGTTTTCACATTTGGCCTCCGGATGGTATGTTTAATCCTTAATATTCTGGACAGCATCCAAGGACTAGGTCGTGACCTAAACTTACTTTTTTAAAAAAAATTCATTAATTCATACACCTAAATATTCCTTCAAATAAATGAGACCATCTCTGAAAGGAGTCATCTAGTTAACATAAATACAATAAATCCATTTTCAGCACAATAATAACTTTGATTTCTAGTTATGGCAGCTGATTACATCTATATTTCCTGAACACTAAACTCTTCTGAATGCACAACATGAAATACATTCTCTGCACTACAAAGGCTAAGCCGGGAGGGCCTGAGCAGTAATGGTTATTTATTTACATAATTTCTTTTCCATACACTGTAGAAGAAATATTGAGGGTTCCCACATTGACACTACCATATAAAAAGTGAGACATGAATTTTGCACAATCCATCTCCTTTTCTTATCTGAAGTATAACTCATGGAGTGTAAATATGTACTGCATTTCACCTCCTGCTTACCTAACTTTTCCACCACAATCCCCCAATTGATGTGAGAGTGCATATCCTCAGCCCACACTTGGGAAAATTCTGTTGCAATGGGGTTAATGAATACCCAGGGTGAGAGCCAGGTCCAGAATTAGGGCTCCTGCTGTAGGGAGACCACAGGCCCAGCTAGAAGCACCGCATTCCCAAAGAAGGAAAGAAATGGAAACAGAAAGCACAGAGCTCAAGCTTAACTTTCCTGAGCTTCTTTCTTGAAGTGACCTATCTGGGAGTAGGAGCATGACCTTGCACTCTGGGAACCCTACTTGCAAATATCAGATAACTATTTTACTGATCTGAGGGGTTGCCATATGGATCATTAATTTTTTTTTTTCTGGGTAGCAATGGTTTCTTTCCATATTGCATTGTTTTGGGCTAAAAGGGATTCATGGCACAATGAAAGATAATACATGTAAAGCAAGATATATGTAAATATGGGTCTGCAGGATGGCCATTCAACTGGATCAGGTAAGCAAGTAGAACCAAGGGCAGAACTCTCTAAATAGTGAAACCCCAAAGAGCTTCTGTCCTGGCCCTGCTGGCCATAAAATCTCACAGGCTTCCCAATTCAAGCCACTGTGGATACATCCAACCAGGTGGCTGGAGTAATTAGACATCTGAAAGGAACCCAGTCTGAATCTGAGGTCAAAGGGGACTTGCCTCAGAAGGTCTTGAATTATTGCTAGTTTTATTTGTATTTTTGCTTGAGGCCATAGCCTTGCCTTGTAGATGAAGGTATTAGAATGCTTTGTAAATCCTAGTTCTTGAAATATAAGGACATAAAGCTTAGAAACTCAGTGGATGCAGGTTTCTCTTTGAATCATTTGTGATGTCTTCTTTAGGGTCACACTTGCCCATTCACAATTATATGGTATCCTTTTGGGGGCATTGCCATACATGTATTTCTTACAGGTCTATATATTAGCAAACTATGTCTTTGATCTCTAGTCAACTTGACTAGCTAAGGGCTCCTCTGTGATCCTCCTATTTCTAAAATATTTATTATTAATGTGAGAAACAACATGAGTATTTGAACTAAGATGGAAGCCTTTATTCTATTCCTCTGATTCCACCTAAACCCTCCATTTCCTTGCCTCAAATTTGTTGATAAAGTATGATCTGCTGTCTTGAAATGTCTTTAGAAGACCAATAAGGACCTTGATTGGTATGAAATAAGCACACAGATCTTGAAATGTCATCACTGTGCAGAGGTACCTTTTTCTCCTTAGGTCTTACCACAGGAAACCTATCTCCCCCAAGTTTCCCCTTAACTCCCTATTCCCTGATTCTGAACCGGCAGCAGCTGCTACTGCCTCTAGCCCAGCTTTGTGTCTGCTCACCAAAGATGTCTCCTTTCTGCAGTCTAGTATAACTGAGCCATATTCCTCTGATTAGTATACAGCTTAAAGATGTGACCAGTTTTCAATTACTTGATCTAAGGCATAGATAGAAGTGTACACTCTCGTGGAGGATTTGCTGTAGAGTCTTTGCTTGCATAGATAGTGGATCTCAAATCCTATATTGCTAAAGCATGAGCTTGATCTGATTCTAGGCACTGCCAGCCCATGATTCCTTACCTGGCCCCCTACACACACGTTCAGTACATAATTTAGGTTCTCCTTGAGCTTTCTAGTTGGGGTCATTTGGTTTTGAGAGGGGACTCTAAGAAGCCTTTGAGAACTGCCTCCAGGCCATATACTTTTTCAGGGGTCCTGAACACCCCCAAATTAGGGGCAAAATGGGGAAAGTCTTCCCTTTAATGAGCACAGCCAGAAGGATGCTCCCCTGCAGGCAAGGACAGGTTGCTACATACAGCAAACATGGCTCCAGCATCGTACATTATTTAATCCAAAGTGAAAGGGGGAAAAACAAAGAGTCTAGAGAGGTTGCTGCCTCTGCATGAGTGTGCATCTCTCTCCAACACCCCTCTGCTACAGTGGGATTATGATTTATTTTTATTTGTATCTGGAAATGAATGGTGAAGAAGAGAGTGGGGAGGTATGAGGGGAAGATTTCTCTTTTTTTCTTTTTCTTCCTTATTTCATTCTCTTTAAAAAAAATTAATGGCTTGTTGTTTGTGCCTTTGCTGCTCTCCAGCTAACCATGTGCCCCCTCTCCCTGTCTCTCCCTCCTGTGGCTGCTCTGGCAGATGCCTGTGGCCTGTCGGATGCCGCCCACATAGAAAGCCTGCAGGAGAAATCACAATGCGCACTGGAGGAATATGTGAGGAGCCAGTACCCCAACCAGCCCAGCCGCTTCGGCAAACTGCTGCTGCGACTGCCCTCGCTGCGCACCGTGTCCTCCTCTGTCATCGAGCAGCTCTTCTTCGTCCGTTTGGTAGGTAAAACCCCTATTGAAACTCTCATCCGAGATATGTTACTTTCTGGGAGCAGCTTCAACTGGCCTTACATGTCCATCCAGTGCTCCTAGACCTTGGGCGCTTCCTGCCTGCCCCTGCCCCCACTAGAAACTCAGAGGACTCATCCGGGCCAAGGACTCCAACGCCTCGGGGACTCTCCGGGTGTGGAGGACCAGGCAGGCCAGGCAGACCAGGCAGGGGAAGGAATGCTGGGGACAGGAGCAGCCCACCCTGCAGAAATGCAACTGGAGCTGCAAACCAGGAGAAAAAGAAACTCTTTTAGGATCAGATCTATAAGCACGTTGCAAAGGAAAGAAAAAAGGATCTTATGTCTGGTGAGAAAATGAAAACATTTTTTGGAAGAGAGGACCATAAGAATTTTAATAAAACAGAAGGAGACCAATGGACCTTCCAGGATTTATTGTGGACGGATGTGGATATATTCTGTACAGAAAAACAACACATATGGAAATGGACTGAATCCTATGTAGAAACACACCACACACACACACACACACACACACACACATACACACATACACTGAACATTGTTATTCATTTTGTAAAATACTAGTCTTTATTTTCATTTTTTTGTAAAATTTAAACATCGTATGCGCATAAAGAAAAAAGGAAACAAGAATTAGGGGAAAATAACATTTTCCAAATAATTATAAAAAATTTGTCCTGTGTCTATGTATCTATATCTGTTTTGTATTTTTTTCTGGTTCCAAACCAGATTTCCTGTGATTCTATACTAATAATTTTTGATATAACCCTTTGCTTCTTATAATGAGTGCGATATATGTTGTCGAGGCTGTTCTTCAAGAATTAAAATTGAAGTGAAAATTTAAACAAAAATAAAAGAATTTAGCAAAACCCATGTGTGTGATTGTTTGGCCAATGTCATCAGTACAAGAGAACCCCCTGGTTAATTTCCAGCTCAATTATTACCAGAATTGGGGAAGTAGGAAAATTTATGGTCCAATACCAAGTTGACTACATTCATTTCCTAAAACTAGCCACTGTCTTGGTTTTGTAAATGTGAAGGTCTGGGCTCTATAAAGGCTGGAGTCCTCAAGCAGGATAGGGTGCCTTGATGGAGGACAAGAGTGGTTGCGACTGTGTGAACTGAAGTTAGCCCTGTATGCATCTGGGTAGAGAAGTGGAGCAAACTGGGTCTGAGTTAGGCACTGGGGCTAAGTCTGTAGGCACCAAGAACCAGGCACAGTCTGCTTCAGTGACCCAGTGGCAGCACCTGGGTTCTCACTGCAGGTGGGAACTTGCTGAGTTGAAGAGGTTTGCAAGAAACATGTGGAGTGATATATAAGCAGAGCAGAAAAGAAAAAGGTGCCCAGATGCCTCTGTGAGCCCTGGGCTTATATGTGCAGGCAAGTGGCTGGTGTGTGTGGGGGGGGGGTGTTCCACTTCTCCCCAGCTCTAGAATATTGTCAGGCCCTCTACATCAGAGTTCTGACTTTGAACCTCTGAAGATCTGACGGTGATTACCCTTTCCTTCCAGACCCTATGATGAGGGCTCCTAAGATGGTCTGGAAATCTGGTGGGTGGACTGAAGGGTACCCTGCTCCTGTGGCTTTTAGTAGGGTGCTGACCCAAAACCTAGGAGTTGGGAGTTAAACTGGAGGAGTTCTTCCCAGAAGGCATTTGGACACTTATGGCTCTTTGAGGGCAGAAGCCTCCCCTTGAGGCCTCTAGTTGGGTGTGCGTGGGGGGCAGCTCTCTGTAACAGCTTTCGGAGCATGAATGTTTTATAGGATCTGAGCTAGAGCTGTGAGAACACATACTGCCAAGGGAGCTCTTTCTTAGCGTATTAATAAAGCCAGATCTTCAAAAATAACACCTCTCACCCTCCCCCCAGCCCCAGACAGGCCCGTATGAGGCAAGAGCTTCACTTTCAGAAATCACTGGCAATGTTTTTCTTTCAATTTGCTATCTAGAAGTCTCCAGGTGCTACCCCCAAAAATGCATTAACAAGCTCCTGTACTCCAACCCACTTGAGGTTTTTAATATTCTGAGTGCAACACAGCATGGGCAGTGCCTAGCTCACTGTGGAGAAACCACTGTAGGTTCAAGATCAGAAACCAGGCTGCCTGGGGACCACTCGAGGTAGGACAGCAGGGTGCAGAGCACTGGAGCAGCCAGAATTACTCCCTGGAGAGATCCTCTGCACCACACCCAAGGACTTCTTTGGGCCAAGATGAATTCCTTGCAGGTTGGACACCTAAGGCAGGAGGGAATGAGGAGAGCTAATATAATTCCTGATCACCTTCCAGGAGGTATTAGGAACCCATTCCAGCTGCCTAAGGGCAGCATGTGGGGATAGGGGTGGGGTAAGCTGCAGTTAGGGTGCCCAGGTGTTGGGGAAGCCAGCAGCCTCAGAGAGCTCAGGATCTTTCCTGCCTTTCTTGAAATGAGATGTAAATATATTCATTACAATGTGATCCCTCTAATGAAAACAGATAAACATTTTCATAGGTCAGAAACGTACTTTACAATTAATTTCAACATCGAGGCCCAAGGACAAGGCACCCAGTGCGTTGTGCTAGGATTTTGTTCCAGTGTTCAGAGGTAATAGTGGTGACTTGACTTTTGCTCACAGGGTCCAGAGTTACTCAAGGCCTGGGAAATCCTGGCCACCTTTCTAAGCCTGGGCCCAAGCTGAGATTAAAATCAACCGGCACAGCCCAGGGAGAAGCAGGGTTTCCTACGGCCTCATAGACTCCCTTGGGTTCCTGGAGGAGCCACGGAGCCTTGGGGTTGTGGGGAAACCAAGAGAAAGGAGTTTCCACATACTCCTCACCTATTTGGAGGCTGGGGCTGTGGGTTTCTCCTGTTATCTCCTGGGTGGCTAGGGTGGCGCTGGCCTGCATTACGCACAGAGTCGTCTTTGCACAATCAGAGCTTCCAGGGACTCCGGAGTCATTGATTAGTCCTGCTGGGACCAACGGGCTGCCCAAAGGCTTTCCATTCTCACAGTGTAGAAAGGACTCAAGAATCAACTTGCGCTAAGGGACAGTTTAGAAACCAAGACGGCAGCATCTAAACCGTGGGTTGAACCTTGTGACAGCCGAAAAGGTCCTTCTGTTCCGGGCAATCTAAAATATCCCTCCTCCTCTTTACTGCGTCTCAGGGGATGAGGGATGAGGGTTGAGAGGCCTAGCAGCCCGAGGTCTCAGAGTGCGAATCGAAGCGGCAGGCTCCAGTTGCGACCCGGCTGCCCCGGTTCCACGTACAGGGATTTCTCAGGCCTTGGTTGCCGCGATGTCTCAGACCCTAAGAGGAGGTGAGGTGGAGCAGACGCAGGCTTCCTCCGCCTGGGTGGCCGCCAGGAGGCTCCTGAGTACTGAGACCGCCTTCATGCCATGCGCCAGGGGGAGCAGTGGAACTCTGGTGTAAGGCTGCAGGCAGGTGTAGACTAGACTGTTGTCATGGAGCATGTAGCCCTACCTCAGCCTGTCAAAGCTGTCTCAAGTCCTAAAGGATCAGAAGAGTAGAGCTGAGCTAACTTGTCCAAGTAGGACCAAGAAGTTCCCCAGGTCCAGAGGAAATACGTCTTATCACATAAGGTGATTTCCCTCGTGAAATTAACTTTTACCTAGGAAAAGTTAACTTTTTTTTTCTTTTCTAATCCGAACACTTGCTGGACAGCTGAGAACTTTATCAACATTGAAGTCAGTTTAAACTACTTTTAGCCATAATCTTTGCCTAAAACATCTGAAAAGCTATATCCCAGGATGTGCTCTCCTCAGGGAATCTCTAGGGAAGAAGACCGCGCCTTTTCTGCACGGGGGTATAAGGTATGGCTCTGAGGATGAAAAGTAAGGCCTCTGCTGTCCCCCTTGCTCCACGTTCCAATCTGGGACCAGGCTAGGTGAAAGGAATACTAGAGAGGAAGATGCGGTCCCTGTCGTGCTTCCGGGACTCCACCCCTCCGGTTGTGGCGGACTCTTGGTCTCTGGCAACAGCAACGGGTCTTTGTAGGGTCTGGGAGACCTCGTCGTTCAGCTTTGCCCTCAGGGCTGCTGGGAACTGGATCCCCGAGGTTCCCGGCCCACCTGAGATTTTGCACACTCTAGATGTGCAAAAAATAAAGTTATTTTTTAAAAATATTCTTTCTCCTCTTATTCCACAGGTAGGCATTTTTTTTTTTTTATATCTCCTACAGTGACTGAATCGCCTCCCGTCAGTTCCTGGATTCCTCAGAACAAATCATTAATGTCTCTGCAAATAGGAGACCATGAGGAGCGTGAGGAGGGAGTGGAGGGGGACACAAGTGCGAACTAATAAAACTCTTGTTAAAGGGCCTGCTCAGGATCCATGGCGTCACTGGGCCTTTTACTTGCGAAGCCAAAGAGTTGTATTCCTAAATGAGTTAAAGACCCATTTACCTCTGTCGTGTTCTATTCATCAAGCCACAAGTTGAGAGTTCCTAACATGAAACTATTTGTTTGCTTACACAACCAGCTGGGCGCAATTTCACGTCTGAGATATCTATCTGAAAGCGCCTCTCATTTATTATCTCTCCTTGTCAGCGAATCCATTTTCCAGCTTCCCCTCCCCCCTTTGGAGTTTATTTATTTATTTATTGTGGGATTTCTTTGCCTGGGAAGACCCGGGACTGGAATACTCCCCGGGGAGTTGTGGCTCCCTGTGCGGGGTCCGCTGCGCCAGGGCGCATGGGTCTGTGAGCAATAGAAGCTTGTACGCTGCGAGAGCTGACCCCGACTGGCCTCGACTGGCCGGCAAGCAAGGGTGTGGCGTAGGTGGCGGGTGGGCCTGGCTGAACAGTGCAGAACTGTCTTTCTCCTTGGATGTCCCCCCTGCTCGCTCGCTCCCAGTGAAAACTTCAACCACCTGTGCGAAGAGTGGGCCTTGAGGGGGGACGGTGGGGGGAGCGAGAGGTGAACCCAGGAGTCTTTCCCCGAGATGGGGGCCCGAGATTCGGATTTGAGATATGCTGTTCACAAAGCCTCACCTAGTCCCACGGGGCCAATTTCTTCTCCCAGGGTCTGAGCACAGAGTGAGTAACCAAGATGTAAATAGTTACGTGATGGGTTGGGGGAGGGGGCAGTGCATTTATTGTGTGTGTGGAGGAGAGAAGGCGCTGCACGTGGTTTCAATTTTGAAGCACAAAGAAATAACATGCAATGCAGAAAATAGGTTTATGAATGTAATTGAGAGGAAAGAAAACAATTAACACGGTGCAAGGTTGCAACTCGGTTCCCCACCCCTTGCTTTCCCTCCTACCCCAATTTTGAGAAATCCGGATCATGTGAATAGAGTGGGTCTGAGTAGTTAGATCCCGCTGACAAGGGAACCCCTGATGGGAATCTCAGTGATAGCTGGATAATGGTGTCTATCCATCTCCTGGACTGCTAAGGCCTCCTCTAACCAAGCTGAAAGCAAAGGATCAAATCCCCAAGTCCAGAGTGTAAAATGTTCCCAATGTAAGGAAAGAAAGGAGAAGGAGTACCTGGGGGACAGAAGGAGAAAAAGAAAAAGAGCGAGGATTTCTTTAAGACAGAACAGGCTGGTCTCTGCAAGCTATCCTATTGTGTTGATTTAGGAAGACATTTGCTGTATATAACGTTTAAGGCTGATAATATCATTGCGCAGCCAGATAAATAAAGCGTTGGCCCAATCGTGGGGTCAGCGATCGATCTCTGGGCTCAGAGGAAAAAGGAGAGAGACAGGGTCGTGCACGAGGGTAGGTCTGTGTGCTTGTCAGTCGGCAGGCAGGAGCTCAGCTCGAATGTGTGTGTGAGCTGAGCGTCAGACACACACACACACACACACAGAGAGAGAGAGAGAGAGAGAGAGAGAGAGAGAGAGAGAGAGAGAGAGAGAGACACCAAGTC